CTGGGGTCAGTCACGTCAACAACGAGAACTACTGGGGTCAGTCACGTCAACAACGAGAACTACTGGGATCAGTCACGTTAACAACGAGAAATACTGTGATCAGTCACGTTAACAACGAGAAATACTGGGATCAGTCACGTCAACAACGAGAACTACTGGGATCAGTTACGTTAACAACGAGAAAGACTGGGATCAGTCACGTTAACAACGAGAACTACTGGGATCAGTCACGTTAACAACGAGAACTACTGTGATCAGTCACGTTAACAACGAGAAAGACTGGGATCAGTCACGTCAACAACGAGAACTACTGGGATCAGACCATTAGGAGAAACTATTTGGATTAGACATAGTTCTACATTTCATTCATACACGACCAGGTTTGGGTAAGGCTTAAAGTTAGATGGAAACGAACAATAGAGACAGGTTAGTTATATCAACAAATAATGGATAAGTACTGGATACATGAGGAACCGTTCGGAGCAGTCACGTCAATAACACAACTACTACTCGTATCAGTCACGTCGAAAACACAAACACTACTACCAGTCACGTTGATAACACAAACACTACTCGTATCAGTCATGTCAATAACACAAACACTACTCGTATCAGTCACGTCAGTAACACAAACACTACTCGTATCAGTCACGTCAATAACACAAACACTACTCGTATCAGTCACGTCAGTAACACAAACACTACTCGTATCAGTCACGTCAATAACACAAACACTACTCGTATCAGTCACGTCAATAACACAAACACTACTCGTATCAGTCACGTCAGTAACACAAACACTACTTGTATCAGTCAAGTCAATAACAGAGACTACTGGGATCATCTCATTAAGACAAACTACTTGGACCAGTGACATCAGTAACAGAAACAAGTTGGATCAGTCATATTATTAAGAGGAACTACACTGATTAACTACACCATCAAAACAAACTTACAGTTGTGACATAAAAAAGAACCGAGTGGATTAATTACGTTTTAGACACGTTGGCTAATCAACTAAACTATTCGTATTTGCTGCGTGAACTACTTGGCTTTGTCATGTCCACCGAGTGAACCAATGGAACTGATTTGATCACATAGTAAAATACTTCAGTAAGATGTTTTACTTTTACATCAAACAATAATGCAATTCTAGTTACAAGTAAGCTCTCCCTTCAGAATACATCCTTTGACAGGTACCTTCATAACCTGGAGTTGGAAAGGTGTCAGAAACAGAACAGCTCAGTTTACCAGGAAAACAAATAGAGTTAAAGGGAAATTTATAAATAAAATCTTAAGTCACAAATCATTTACAGTTCTTGGAAAGGGTTAGTTTAAATGTTAATTATCACAATAGAAGAATACTGACTACCAAGTTGCAAACATAGCTCATTTTTTTATAATAATACCACTCATGAAAACTTGTTTATCCCATCTCAAGTAATTCTCCTAATGAATAGAAAAGTTATTTATCGTATAAAAAATAGACACAAAATGCTCTTTGCAAGGCACTATTTTGAGGAGTAATCTCTCATATTGACCTTTTCACATTAGTATCAAATTTTCAAATACTGAGGGGAAGCCATTGATGCTCTATAAAAACACTCAAACAATATATTTAATTTTGAAAAATTCATTATACAGTTTGAATTATAAAAACGAAATATTCGAATTAAAGTCAAAGAGATGGAAAATGGAACTCGATAAACATCATACAGCTCTTATTTTGCATCATATACTTTTGATGCAATATGCATTAACAAGTTGAATGTACATAATATGGTTTTAGTCAAGTAGTTAATATCAGATAAAACAGTTGGTCTTAATAACGTATACACTTCCATGCTAAACTTGCACCATATTAACATAGTGAAATTGCATTATGTGATAAATCTAGATGTAACAAAATTTTGCATAATATGAATTTAAATTTATAGATATTAATATGCTAAACGTTCATAAAATTATTCAAATCTAGTACACACATCTCAACATACTAAATATGCATCACTTGGTTTTCATTTATATGACAATAACATGCTGGATTTCTATGACTTTAATTCAGTATACATTTTGTGTTAAACTAGCAATATTCAGTTTTAATGTACTAGATATTAAACTCGTGTCATACCGTTTTAGTCTATCACACAGTAACATGCTATAATTATATCATTTTGTTTAAATTCAGCAGAATTAATGCCTTAAATCTGCATCATTTGGTTTTAACTCAATAGGGTTAACACACTAAAGTTGCATCATTTTGTTTTAATCTAGTACAGGTATAACATGCTATACTTTATTTAATTGGTTTTTATTCAGTTCATGTTGACATGTAATATATGCCTAACTTTCAAAGTTAATTAAAAGTCTCCACATACAGCAGACCTATATAAAAAATCACTTTAGAAACTGATTAATAGTGAACTTCTTCTACAATGTCTTTATTTGATTATCTTTAAAATATACATTAACTCTGTTGTTTTTGCAAATGCAAACTGCAAATTCCTACAAAAACAGTAGAATATATATCTGAAATAATTATGTTCTGTAAAAAAAAAAACTAATTTTATATTTAGAAATACCTTCAAATCACATTAATATCTACTTATAAATGAATCTTGACAATTCAGAAATACTTAATTAATTTCTCAGTATACAAACCAAAAGCTTTTAAAAGGATATCTACACAAAATAGATTATATCTACAAATCTTCATATCATAATTAGCACATTTACTTTCTAAAAACAACAACAACAAACAACATGACTTTGAGGTCCCCTTGGTGATGTAACAAGTTACATCCTCTTGTTTTAACATTGAAACTTTGAAATGTAGTTTTCAAATAACTTTACAAATTATGTTTTGTTTTACAACTAAATAAATTGAATAACAAAATAAATGGATCTGACCATTAAACACAACTTAACCATTAATTGTATTGGTTTTATTATGTGAACAAGCAAAGCAGATAAGGCATTTTCTTATGTCATCATCCTAACAAACTACATTTCTCAACCTATTCTTCTTCTTCACCTGTAAACGGGCAGATGTTTTCTTGGTTTTCACAATTAAATTTGAAGGTACATAATTTACTTTTGGGGTCACACAACATGATCAGTACAAACACAATCTGCACCCACAATATGATAATAATTTTTCCAAAACTTTCCTCTCTATAATTAGTAGCACCTTTTTTTCTAAGTGATAATTGTCAATCTACAGATATTACAGCATCAAAATCTGAGCTACAAAAACAAAATTTAAGATGAATTCTTAAGAATAAACTCCACATGAAAGTTTTAAATTAAACTTTGACACAAAAAAATAATAAAAAAATAAAACAATGCTAAGCATATTATTCAACATTTGATAACCAGTTTAAAGTGATTTAAGTTATGATATCTGGAAAATGACCTTACGGGAAATTTTTTCGTTAAAATTACCTAGAAAAGAACACAAAACCTACAAAATTAGCAGATCTGAAGCAACATAATCTTATCAGTTTGAGGAGAGAAATATGGTATGGAAATCATAAGAACATTCTTCTTCTGTATTCTTGATAAAAGGCTTTGTGTCGCAAGGTTAGATGTTACCGTTGAACATCACATATTTAATTACTTCCACCGGGCCACATGAATGATAGATTGGCACCACTTTTCCTAAAGGCTGGTGTTATCACATTTGAGTCAACTTCAATATGAATTATCTTCTCCTTGTTTCCTAGCATACATTGAAGTTGTTTCCCAACTAAAACCTTCAAGTCTCGCTTCTGGGCACTAAAGAAACAGCAATTGTTGTTGTTGTACAACATTTATAAAGTTTTAACTCTAGGATAGTCAAGAAGAATTCATTATATTACCTAAATATCAGCATAAGTAATATGTCAATTATCCATGCGTATTAATCAATATTTGCCTAAGGAAGAAAGGGTAATTTGTATGTCAATATCAGAAAACTTTTTTTTCTTTTTTACCTATGTTATCATTCTAAAATCACCGAAGATTTTTTACATAGTAGGAAAAACGAAGAAACAACTTATAAAAACAAACTAGTTTGTCAATGCTATTGTGTGAATATTACTAGCAGCTAAATCTCCACAACTACTTTTCTATGTTGGCTTTTAAAGTTATACATACAAACACACACATTTATTTACTAGAAAGGGTCACCTTTTTATTTGGTTTTACCACCCGGGTTTCTGAATGAAAATAACAGAAAATACAAGCAACTTTTTTCTTTTTTTTTTTTAAATCACAAACAATGATAGTTCATACTACACAATGTGATATATGCACTTTGACTATTACAGGAAACTGGATCCCAGATTTTATAGTTGTAAGTCTGTAAACTTATCACTGGACCCACTGATTGTCAGTTCATAAGAAATTGTTTAACACTCCAGTTAATCAAAAATGCATAAATGTAGTTTGTTATATAAAGAAAATGTAAAAACTCCATTATTTCATTATACCATTGCATTCAAGATTATGAAAGATGATTACAAGTTAAATAAACATTACTCTAAAACATATAAAACACAATGCTAAGTGTACATACAATCTAAACATGACTTTTTATTTATAAGATGGCCGAAGTTTACACTGCCATCTTTGTTACAACATTCCTTATAAATCTGTGATTAACAAGATTCAGATATTCGGCCAAGGATGAAACTGGTTGTGGTCTTCAACTCTAGAATGTTTTAAGTTTTTAAACTACTGATAAAACTACAATATCAATATCAATGTAAAGGTAATAAACGTTAGTACTGATAACCAAAATAAAAGTGTAGTTTTCACATAATGTAAAACACTTAAAAAAAACAAAAAACTTTACAACACTCACAGTTTCCAGTGGTGAGCCACGACTCCAACAAGCTCACCAACTCTGTTATCTTCATTGTGCGAAGTCAGAGCTATCACAAAGTCATTACCACCACGCAGATGAAGGATTACTAACTGATCAGGGCCAGGACCAACACTTACTCCGGTCAACTTGAGATAAAAAAAAAAAGAGTCAGAAATAACTTAAAATCAACTACCAACTGGCAATGACCAAAACATACATTTACAGTAGTCAGCTACAAAGTATATATTGCTTTAAAAATAACAACTAGTCAGGATCAGGACCTCTACTTATAACAGTCAATTGTATAAAGTTAAAAAACAAAACAAAAAAAACATCATCGTACATTATAGGTAAATAGTAATAATACACTAATTTGTTTGTTGTTGCTGCATGTTTAATACTACACATTAAATAAAATGCACTTAGCAACTAGTCAAGATCAAGACCTATAATTATTCTAACAACTTACAAATGAAAATAAGAAAGAATAAATAACAATATGTCACACAAGATATATCTGCCACATTCTGTACCAACAAGGCCTTTCACCCGATACAACGGCTCAACAGGCTGGCTGAAATATGACAACCACAGCAGTAACCGAGATACTATTAGGTTGTCAAGAAATTAATGTCATGTTTTGGAACACTTTCATTAACCACTCCCAAAAAAACGTACATCAAATAAAATAGTTTAATGAACCTTCTAAATACCACATTAGTGTAGCCTATATAATGTTTAAAGTTTAGTATACTCTAATCCCTTATAGTGATGGCACACGCATTCGGCATGTAATGCTGTTTGAATACAAGAAAGGAAACAATGCCTCTGTAGCCACAAATAATATCAAAGAAGTTTATGGAAATGCTCTGAATGTTCATAAGTGTCAATAATGGTTCAGCAAATTTCCTTCAGGTGACTTTAGCCTTAAAAACTGTGATGCCAGGGGCTGACATTTTGGAATTGATATTAATGCTCTGAACATGCTTGTTGAGTCTAACCCAAGGCAACACATTTGTGAAATGGCCCTGAAATTACATGTCTCTCATGAAACAATACGTAAACATCTAAGGAATATGGGAAACTCCATAAAGAAGGTGTTTGGGTGCCTCACGAACTCTCTGATGATCATCATTTCTAATGTGTGAACGTTGCTTCATCTCTTCTGGTGCATAATGGAGTAATTCATTTCAAACTCCTCAATCCACAGCGAACTGTCAATGTAGAGATCTATAGTCAGTAACTGGAATGTTTAAATCAAGCCCTTCATTAGAAACGCTCGTCATTCGTAAAGGTGTTCTTCTTTTCCACGACAATGCACATCCACACGTGGCACATTTGATGCAACACAAGATTATGGAGTTGGGTTGGAACGATATCTCCCACCCACCATATTCTCCAGATATGGCACCATCATATTACCATCTTTTTCATTTGCTGTGGACTATATTATGTTTGTGAAATGTAGTTAACTGAATAAAAATGCCATATTTCATAAGTAAATACTAGTAATACATTAATCAATTGGCTGTAGCTGCAAGTCTGACGATACACATTAAGGAAAAGTGACCGTCTCTATTCACATTTAAGTATGTAGATTCATTTTAGGGAATATACGAAGGCAAGGAAGAAAAATAAAGAAAATGTTAATAAGCACATAATTTTATGGAAACGTTTATATATATATATATATACATATAAAAAATAGACATTTATTCAATTTTACCATCTCTCCATACCTAACTGAAAATACATTAATAACAATAAGAAGGAGAATAAAATAATTCACTCATTGTTTCAGATCATTATTAAGAAATAAAAACCACAACAATAACAGATATGAAAGTACAGAACATGTTGAGATAAAAATTTGATATTTCATACATTTGTTACAGGAGTTTCTAACTTGCAGAAGACAGTATTATATACACAGAAACATTGAATTGCTTGAGTTTGTTATATGGGTTCTGACTTAAAGAACAAAACTTATAACCAAAGTAAAGTTCTTGATATTCTTATGTTCATTTTAGAAATATTTTGAATTAAAAAAAAAATAGCTTATAAATTATATTACAAAACATAAATTTCTTACATCAGTTATAGGAATTCCTGACTTCAGTGGTCTAAACTTTTTATTGTCCAGTTTATAAAGGTACTTGTCAGTTACAAGTAATACTCGTTCTGCACTTTTGTTATGTTTGTTGACCTAAAAAACAATTTGTCAGGTTTATGAACATTATAGTATAAGAAAACAATAATTAAATATATTTTCATATCATTATACAACACAGTAGTAGAAAACAATAACTTTTGATAATGATTTAAAATGAGATGAGATCAATATTTCTTTTCTATGTAATTTCCCACAACAGGGTCAGTCGATAGGACCAATCTGTGCTGGAAAAAAAAAGCACTGACTATAATTCCAAATTTACTATGTGTATCTATATGAAATGTTACAATCTTTTAGTAAGATATACAGGTCTGTTGTACACAAGACATCAGATGTGTTGCAAAAGTACTTGAACTCAAAATATGTCTGTGAATTGACAACCTCAGTCTGACCAGATTCTGTCAAGTTGGAGTGTAAGGTGATGTTCATGTAAATCCTCTAAAACCTCAGAATCTAGAGTTTTTTTTAGTATACTGAATCTGTTATTTACTCTACCATAAACTGTGTTAACTCAGCAGTGTAAGGTAAAATGAATAGTTGGTAACTCTAACATCAAACACATAACACGATGTTGAATGGCAATCTGTAAAATGTCGTGGAAAGTGCACTTTGACTCACACCTGCACACATAAGGTTAATAAAACAAATATTTCTCATAATGTGAACAAAAACTGAACAAAGGTACAAAAACTAATTCTAAAAATTCATTACATTTTCATAAATTTTATAGAAAATATTTTACGTTGCAAGAAAGAAAAATAGAAAATCGTTTTTGTTGTGAAATAATAAGTTGGAACTGAAAGTTGCCAGATTAACAAAATCTTGTTCACACTTAGACATAAATGTTCTCAATTATACATTTAGCTGTTAGTCTGGAGGGGTTATAGATCAACGAAACGAGAGTATCCTACAATGATTTTAGGAACTTTTCTCAATTAGTTTCAAGGTGACACATTTGAGGGAACACTAGTGGTTAATGTTACACAATATTTTTCTAGTTACTTCTGACGTGTAGCACGTGATGTGAAGTTGATTTTTTTCAGCTAGTGTTCTGCGATACAGATTGAAAGGTGTTTTAATATTATGGTCACATGTAATACATTCTCAGGTATTTTTACAGTTATTGAAGTTAGGTGGGGTCTATTTTGGTGTCTTTTCACTTAATGTTGAAGGTAATGTTGTATTTTAATAATATATAATGTGTAAGAAACATTTGAAGGTTTTTTTTTCTTGATACTACACCTTGTGTTTGTTTCAATTACTTATATAGGTTACATAATGTATTTAAAAAAATCTTCTCAACTAAATTCCACAGATAATGCAGATGAAAGGTTTTTTTTTTCCATTTGATGTCATGTGATACATTTTTAAAGTTGATATTTTTTTTTATCTAATGCTATAAGTTACATACTAGAACCTATTTTCTTAGAGAGTGTTATCAATCATAAGTTCAGTGTTTGTTTTTTCCACATAAACAAGTATTGTTATAAAAGTGATAATTTTGCACAAAGTATTTTTCACAGATATAAAAGATAGCATGTTATAATTTTTTTTTTTTACAAATATATTTACATTCTTGTACAGAAACTTGGCACAGTAAGTATTTTGTATTTATTTATTTACAGAGGTAAACAACTTGTACAATGTTCCCTACATGCTAAGCATTTTGTGTTAAATATATTTACAGATTTTTGTATCAATTTTTCTTACAAATGTAAATGATAGCCTCTACTTACTTTTCTCACAAAGCTAGAGAAGAGGGCATTTTGGAAACGATCCTTTGACTTGAGACTTCCCACAGAGCTGATAAATGTTGATGAATTATCATTTTCAGGGTTCTGCATATTTATAAAAAAACAAATGCTAGATGTTACTATACTAAAATGTTAAACAATACCATCAAGGGTTAGAATGTATGTAATGTCTACATGTGACTATTTCTTAATCATTATTAACTTCCAGTGACAACAAACTGAAAAATCAACTCAGTAATCAGTATTATTAATATATTGTTATTAAGCTCTTATCTATAAAGATTAGAGTGCATTGTTTCCCCATTGGGTATCCTCGCTGTCAGCAATACTTACGGCAATTTCAAATCCTTAATATTATAGTAACAAAAATTTTCATTTGAAGAAAAATCATTTATAGTGACAACGGTTTGTTTCCTCAATATTTGTCATGTGTGTGTGTGTATGTCTATATATATATATATATATATATATATATATATATATATATAATAAATAATAATATACTACTAACTATATATACATAATTATATTAGTAGTATATATTATAT